CTTCCCAGTGGTGACACAATCAACTGCAAGAGTACGCGCGCACTCAAGCTTTTGTATAAAGGTAGTATATGATATTCGAACACATCTTTCACCTGCGACACCACGTGAATCACAGTGGGAGTTTCAGATAAATTTTAACTGTCTTTCGGCACATGACAGTTGACCGTGCCTTTATGCAAAGTCTAACGCAACAAATAAAATGTATATATATTAGTTTTCTGCTTCTGAGAATTTATTCTTCGAGTATGTCTAGATTCCAGCAAAGAACTTTGGGGAGCTCATCAAAGTAACCTATTGAGGGAGCTACGAGTCTGAAACAATATGCCTAAAGTAAATTCTGCGCTATGGCGGTGAGCATCATGTTTTACCATGCCTCACTGCAACATCGCGGACTGGTCTTTTTTTCAGCTATAAACATATTCACGTGAAACGTTCTTTGGCTAGGTTTTCGGCATTTCGAAAAGCCCAGATAAAAGTGAAGCCTGGATAAAAGCGTGGCCACGAGGCTTGACCTGATTGGTTGACGGTTTGGAGGGAAGGAGTCAGGTGCTCGACGTCGATTGGTTAACGGCGAATTCGTGTGACCAGAGTAGTATGCTAGGAGGAGTGAAGTAGTCGAGGAGGAGCGAGGCAGGCGAGGACGAGCACGACCATCTGTGCGCACTGGGAGAGAGGAGGTCCGTAGTATGGAAGGCTCTAAAAGATCGTCGGGTTTTTCAGCTCGATTAGAGGTAGTATCGCTTCCTTCTAGGAACACCTATCAAGTGGTACGCGTTAAACTATCTGATGAAGAGGGCCAGGAACGTAGGCGCCTGAAGTCTGGAAAACTCGGAGTATCGCTAGAGGTTTGTGATACCAGGAGGTTTCACGTATGAAACACAATTGCCTAGCAATTTGCTTTAATTCTTTTGTATTCTCCTCACTTGCTGAGGTCCCTCGCAGGCTGCAGAGATCGACTCTTCAAAGTGCTTTGTTCGAATTAAGACGCCCGAGATGTCTTATAATGTATAATGTTTTCACTAGAATAGACAGTGAGAACACCTAGAAACACACGCTAAACCCCATGTCAGCTGAATACTCCAGTACAAAAGCACGCAAAATGAATAATCAGCTACGTGGATATTTTATTTAGATTTGTATTTTGTTCTCTCGACAAAAGCTTTCAGATGTATCTAGTTACCACTCGTTTTGAAACTAGCCTTTTAGAGCAGAAAAAGTACAAGCTGATAAGCAAACGTAAAAGCATTTTGCAAACTCTCAGGAGACCTTTGGGTAATTGCTTACATTTATGCTCAGCTGTTCAACTCTGCTTGTAGTACCTCTCCTCGCTGCTCTTATATGCTGAGCTCGCACCGATTTGAGGTATCAGTATTCACGCATTACTCAATGACTAAAGACAGCTTGTGATACAAGACAGTTCAAAAACAAAAATCTACATATTTTAAGATCCTGAAAAATCAAAAACGCATCAACAAACGTTGAAAAATTATTTCTTGTCTCTAGCCGCTCGAAATTTGCACATGAGCTTGTTTTCAATTTTAGGTGAGAACAGCGCTTCTGACTCAAATCAGCCAGTGTAAAAGAGAAAATTCCCAAAACCACCCGTTTCATGGCTTTCCCTACCAAAAAAAAACACTATAAAGTGGAATACAGAGCAGAAAATGTAACTGGGGGGGAAGGGGGGGGGGGGGGGGTTTCTTGCTGGTAACCTGGAATTTGGTTTACCTGCAAACTGGATTTCAGGTTTCCAGTTTACCTGTTCACTAGATTGCAGGTTTCCAGCAAGAAACCCTGTTAGATTTTCTGTTCCATAATCCAGTTAATACTGTTTGTTTCGGCAGGGTTACCTTGCTCATTATAAATATGTTTGAATCAAGCCGAGATATTATCATTTAAAGATTGGGTAGATTTTTTTTTTTTATTTTATTATTTTAAAAAGGTCTTTGTGTTACTTATTAAATAAATCACAGTTCAAAGTGTTTCTTTTCTCTTTTTTTTTTTTTTTTTTTTGCAGTCACCCGGTTTACGCTGTCACACAGTAGCTCTCTGACCGTCAGATTCAGAGGACCTAGCGGAGATAAAAAAAGACATGTGGCGTAAGCGCGCGATAGCAAAACCGCATCGTACGACGTCCTTGTCGCCCTCAGCAAGATAAAATTGGCCCATCGATACACATTCGCTACTGTGAGTCAATCGTTCGCTGATATCGGTTGATGGTGATGGCCGCTTGTCCTACATTTTGCCTTTCACATCAATACGTATACGTATCGTTTGAGGGAACGCGCGAAAGAGATTATTTTATCCAAGGCCACCGGTGTAACATTTACTGTCCTTATTTTTAAACAGGATATGGGAGCGACCATGTGAAGACAGCGTTCCGAACATTACAAAAAACATATATTTTCACTCCTGGTTGCCCCTTCAGCCATTGCGCAAGTCTGATCAAAGTTACAACTCTCTACTCTACAGTATCTAGATATCAGGAACGATGTCTCGTTTAAACATCATTTATGCAATAAATAAGACCACTAAATTTCCTGATGTAATACTAAAAAGTAGAGAAGATATAGCATGGGCAATTTACAAATGGCACCGAGTGTTGGAAATTGAAAACCGGCATGCGCAGCAACCGCACTATTTGCGCTGATCATTTGAAACTTTAAATTGCCATTGTTGTAAATAAAAAAATGTCTTATGTCCTTTCAGTCTCTTGCGGTTGTTGGCATGGTTCTTCCTAGTGTAGTCAACCTCAATTTAGCCAATATATGTAGCATTAAAATATTTTTGAACTTGTATGAAATATTTATTTCACTGAAGCATCGACACTGTGCAATGCTGAGCTTTCCGTGTAAAAATCTTTTAAAAGGCAAAAACTCAGTCTATGGGCCACTAAGAGCATAATCGTGGCCGGGGTCACCTAGTTGCAGGGATGGGCAAAATACATGCAAATATGTATCGAAATACCAACACAAAATACTTCGTCAAAATGTATTTAATTACAAATCTAATTACATTTCCAAAAATATCATTTAAGTACAAGATACAAATACAACCAAATCTATTTGGTCTCCTCCAAATACATTTGGAGCAGACAAAATGTATTTGGACCTTCAGGGCACCTGCAACAAGTTTCTAAGCCTCTCATTTTAATTTTGCATCGCACACTCGGGATTTAGTGGGCGAGGCTCTAGTAACGTAATAGATGTATAATCACAAAAAAAACTGTAATCAGCTTGGACGTAATATGTGAAAAAAGTACAGAGCTTCAAGCAGTTTTTTGTGTCGGGTACATTTTGGTATAGACCAACAAAGAACCGAGACGGCCAAGACGCGCAGCACTAGCTAGAGAATTTTTTATTGTTGCAACTCGCACCAGTTACGAAAATCTGGACGACCCGTACATTTAGAAAGTTCCAGGCAAAAATATGGATGGAAATCAGGCTGGAAATCATCACAAGTTGTCACAGGCACCTTTTTAGCCAGTCTGCCTGTGAACGTCGATTTCGTCACTACTCTTGCCCTGGACTAGCACAGTAATCACAAAGTCACTAAACGCTTGTGCTTGATTGAGAGACACTGCGTTCGGTGCAGAGCGTAGTTTCTTCCTGCTCTGGACAGTGAAAATAAATTTGACGGACGTATTTTCGCCCACAAAATTGTATTTAATTACAACTGTATTTGAAATACCCACGTTTTAGTATTTAAATAAACACGTCAGATACATTACCCAATTTGTAAATAAGTGCAAACGCAAAATACACAAATTATTTTAAATACGTAATTCAAATACTTGTATTTGAAATACTGCCCATCCCTGCCTAGTTGGTATTCGCTCATTGTCCTTAAATGCACGTAGATCGTAAAACTGAATTTTCATTCAAGAAAATTGTCTCAGTCTAACAAATAGCTTTTCTGTCTGGAGTAACCAATAATCATACATTAAATTTACTAACCCTGAAATTGAAAGGTGAAATCGCAAGCCTGTCTTAAATCTCGACTGCGTACGTGAAAAAAACGTTAGTCTCGGCATTTTAAAAAATAATGTAAAACTCGATCAAAGACACTACATTATTCGAAGCCGATGCTTTTTTCTTCAATATAAGAGAGCTTCAATGATAATAAAACTGTGCAGAAGGAACAAAGTATTACTGGTTTAGGGGTTTCAGTGTACTTATTTTAAAAAAGGTCGTCGGTTTTATTAACTGATCATTCGTTATTCACGTCAATTGCTTATGGGTTTTTAATTGTATCAGTCTGTTTCGTTTTCTGTTGGCTTACTCGTATCTAGACGCATCACAAAAAATGTTTGTTATATTGTTAATTTTAATCACTGAAGCCCAATGGGTGACTTTGTTCGGGACGAAATGATTGGCATCTTATTTATGACAGTCTTAAAGTAAGCACTGCCAAGGGTAGTGTACGAATGGGGTGGCGCGTCAAGAGAGCTCCTCATATGCACACACCTTAGCATTGTCAAATATCTCATTCGAAACTGCTCAATAAATGACCCACTAATATCATATCGAGCACAACGGCGGAAGAGTTTCTCTATTTAAGTACTAACAGAAGCCGTTAAAGTAACGCGAGTGATTCAATACAGCACGGTCTGTAGCAAAATGTACGCATTTCGACTGTGTATTGGCATGTGTCATATATGAAGCGAACGCCTAGCAGACGTTACGGCGCATATTCCAAGAATGAAAGCATACTCCGCAAAAACAAACAAAAACATATGCCTCATACCGACTTGTAAATGTTGCGTAGATCATAGAAGCGGCTTCATAGAATTAAACAATAAAAAACACATAGCGTTCCTACGTTAAAGGCAGCATTCATAGAATCTCGGTTGGTCCGCCACTAACCGAGAGTTATACCGTGAATGCAGTGACACAGTTCTGGAAAGGTTTTACGAAAGCGATCGAAACAAAGAAACGCGGAGTCCAGGAGTGTGGAGCCATCGCATACGAAACAAAAGCAACAAAAGCTGATGCGCAACTTACCGAATATGATGGGATGATTCGTGGTGGGAAAGATGGTGTTGCGAAGCCTCTCTACGATGGTCGCCGTGTCCGCGCAGTGAGCAACGAAGAGCAAACACACCGCGGCCACCCAAACTGTGGGCAGTTGGCATGGTCCTCGCAAAAACCGCATCGTTCAGCCGAACACAAAAAAAGCCAAGACCGAGCTCCCGCGGCGTCAAGCAGCAGTGGCAGCGCAAGGAGCGGCCGACAACCCAGTAGAACAAGACAACGACTTCTCCGGAAAGGCAGGCGGCGACACTCGAGAGCAGACGACGCTCAAACTGCCGCCGGCCAAAATGCTTGACTAATGTTTTTTGTTCCTTTTAGTTTTTTAAAGACCGCGAGCCGACCCTCTCCGGCTCCCCCGCAGATTAGAGTGGGAGAAGAACAAATAGAGAAGAAAATCGAAAGTGAAGCGGGTACGGCGAGCACGTGATCTACCCTGTGACGTCAGAGTCCTCCCCCATCTCTGGCGTTTCACCCTCGTCGTCCTCCCGTACGCCCCCCGCTGCCGTCTCTGCCTTCTCGGAAGAAGGAGTAAAGCCATTTAAGCAGACATACCACCAGCTTACTTGCTGCTTCAGATACCGAGCCGTTGTTTTCCCGGGAACTGCGTCTGGTGTTAAATCTGGACTGCAAACGGGTCGGGGTCATAAGGCTTTCTTCTGTAAGAACTGCTTCCCCCTCATTGCAGCCGTTTCGCTAATGTGCGCGAATCTGTTTTTATTTTCAAATAAAAACTGAATATGTCGGTATTATAAATATAACAGCACCAAAGGAAAATAAAGTGAGCGTTAAAAATGAAAATGCACCTCCTCCATAACACAGCAGCGCGAACGAAGAAGCGCGTTTAGCAGCGCGATCAGATGATGTCCGTTGTTTTTGTTGCTTTGTGTATGTTTTTTCTTATCCTTAAACAAGTTTACAGTGATCTGCGGACACAAAGTGTGCGTTTGACTTATTTTGAACTAATTGTTAAATAAGTTAATGACACTTTTCGCTTTCTTGAAGTGATTAATGTGAGATTGCTTTAAACAATAAAATAAGCGATATTGCCATTTTACCTGAACTAAATTAGGATTAAAATTAAAAATCTGGTCATATGTGATTTCGCGATCACACCTACGTTTATGAATATATATATAGCATCATTGTGCAGTTCAGAAACTTTGAGAACGTTTTAAACCTCACAATAATTCCTCGTTTTGCTTCAATTATCCTTTCATGACCGAGAAATAGAGCCCTTAGTATAATATTAATATTCACACGAACGGAGCGTCGCAATTTTTATTTCAGCTCGTTCGTAAACATATACTTGTGTGTTAGTCCCACGTAATATATTTAGTTTCCAGCAAAATAGTCATTTTTTGGACAGATTAAATGGAGAAAAATGTTTGACACGATAGTTTCCCATTCAATGACAAAACGAGCAACTTTCACGAGTGATTCCCTGTAAATAATTTTAATTGAAATCGCCAGCCCTCAAGATGTACAAACTCAATGACGTAATCGCGTATCAAGAGTCGCACGACCCATTGTCAACTGATCAAACAAAGCGCGGAACGTTCGACACTTTCACGTAACACATCAGCGTGACCGCGATTGGCTCAAGACGGGTGGGCCGATGCTCGAGCTACGTCACGAATGGCCAGGTGAGTGATGCGTGATCTCACGATGGCAGGGCTGTGAGGAGGAATATCGAAGCGTCATAGGTTCGACTGGTATATGAAGCGGCTTTGTTGATGCGAGATAAGCGAGATCTGGACGGCCGCGAACCCGAAAAGAAAACGCACTTGACCTACGGTCCCCCCTTGGACGCTGCAGCTTCCTTCTTGCTTGCAAAGAGTCTGTCCTTTCACAAAGTGGCACGTTGTTATCAGCTACACGGCAAGTAGGTAGCTGCCTGATTCGACAGTCAAGTGCTTTTGATGGATATGTTTTGTTTCATTCATTGTGGTACACTCTAAAAAAAGTCTCTGCGTCTATTTTCACGCACAACACTCGGAGAACCAATCAGCCCAACTTACGGAAGCAGCTCAGCGACCAAAAAAACGCAGACCGAGTTGTGACATTGAACAATGCAAGCGTGACGTTTTGCATAGCTTAATGTCACAACTCAGACTGCGTTTTTTGGTCTAAACATAGGTTTCGGCATCGCCATTCGCTGAGCTTCCTTCGTAAGTTGCGCTGATTGGCTTTCCGAGTGTTGTGCGTGAAAGTAGACTTCCAGGCATTTTTTAGAGAGTAAAAAGACTCGGTTAGTGTTATAAGCGCCTAGGTATTTCGGTAGCGTCCTCGTATGGTTACTTTTTTTTTTTTTTTTAATCCTCGAGAGTGGGGAAACATAAGGACAGTACAACACAAATCTCCTGTACCTTTGCATTAACTCTTATGGACTCCGTCTGTGACATCACGACCAGAACTTACCTCGCCGTCAAGTCACGAGTTGTAATATTCGACTACTTATCATCACTTGTGAACTATAATTTTGATGCTACGTGTACAAATAGCAGTGGAAACCTGGAGTAACAGCACTCTTAAACAAACACCGTCACAGCTGACACCCCGACATTGCGCTGATTTCCGTCGATGAAACAAAATGTATCAATCTAAATACTTCACGGTGAGCATTTGGCCAACCGCGAATTGCGACCACAGCGGCGCTCTTGGTTGCGCACTCCGCTAATAAGAGATTTGATGCTGTGCTTTGTAGTTTTCCCTGGCACCACAAAGAAGAAGCCTTTGCTTATCGGGGCTGGGTGTTTTTTTTATCAGTTTCTTTGAATAAAATCAAGATTATTATTAATAATGAGAGTATTCATATTAATACTAATAATAATAATAATAATCATAATAATAATAATAATAGTAGTAATCCTGTTCCCTGGGTTGACTCAACAAAAGATTGTTGAGTCAACAATATTTTGTTGTTGTCAATATTTTGTCAACAAAATATTCACAAACAAAATACATATAGATGGCACATATATGTAGCGTGCTAAGGAAAGTTGCATGCATCTTGTACAGTATGAGCGTTTGTTCCACTGAATGTAAAAATATGGTTGTTGAAGCACTTGGGTACAGTGCATTGCGATGTGGCATGGCCTTCCTTGCCCACTGTACGAATGCATGGCACCCTAAGATAGACATTTTAAAAGGACTTTTGCAGAGTGTCGAGCATAACTCTGTTTTTTCTTCTTGGTAAGCCAGCGCATACCTTTTCTGTTCAAGCAACCAAGATGTTTAACCAACACTCTCTCCTAATTCTATCTATCGCCCTCCGTCCAACAGTAGTTCCAATTGTATTGAGGAACTTGAAAATGTCGTATCATCATGGACATTAGAACAACTGTTGTGCGTGGTGGGAGATTTTAACATAGATGCATTAGCCTCATCCAAACCGGTAGTAATTGTCTACCTCACACTCTTATTATCATGGTATTGAATGGAGCATTCAGTCCCCAACAAGGGAAGACTTTTTAGGTGCTTGTAACATCCGTGTCTTGATCACATAAACGTGCGTGGTCCAAGTTTTAACATTCAGTCCTGCGTAATCAATCAAAAATTCGCAGACCATTATTTTCCAGCATGCCAATAGACGCCCTTGTTTTAAAGCGCATTAAAACTTGGGTTTGGGCTAGTTGGTCCATTCCTGAATAAAAGGTCAAAAAGCGCGAACAAACGGGGACAATAAAGAAACACGGACGACAGGACAGGCGCTTCCTCCAAACCCTAGTCTGTACCTAAAATTAAAATATAGTCATCTACGTATCTATACGTCTTTAAAACATAAGAAAGCGCCTGTCCTGTCGTCCGTGTTTATTGTCCCCCTTTGTTTGCGCTTTTTAACCTTTTATTTAAGGCGCAGCTCTTAGGCGTCCGTTTCCGGCTTGAGCATTGCATTATTGGATGTTTCTCATAATGACGTCACACGTGACGACAAATGTGACATCATGAAGGTCACGAGTGACGTCACGAGAGAGAATGGAGGGAGAGAGGGAGAGGAGGAGGAAGGGAGGTAAATGGAGGAAGGGGAAGGAGGAGGATGGCGGAGGGGAGGATGGAGGAGGGGAGGAGGAGGAGAGGAGTGGAAGAGGAGAGGGTACGGAGGATGAGGAGAGGTTACCCTCCTCTCCATACCCTCCCCTCCTCGTCCTCAGGAGCTGCGCTCTAATTCGGAATTACAAAGAATTGTAACCGTCTTTCATTTTTCACTCATGACTCGCAAAAGTCTCCAGGCGAAAATAGAACAACTGACGCTTGGATTGTAGATAACCGGAAACTTGACTTGTCTATAAAATTTTTCAGTTGAACCTCGTTAATTGACTCCAACGACGCTTGTCCAATGTGTGAAAAAAAGTTTCAAACAAATCCAGTTTTTTCAGATATGAGGCGAAGCATCCAGTCAGTTTTACAAAAAAAGAAAAGCCATTGGATAACCCCATATATTATTGAAACAATCAATATAAAGACCTGTTGAGGAGACGATCCAAAAGTGCCGGAGCATTACTGCGCTCAACCTCAAATTTAAGATAGAAATTAAATGTGTGCGCTGACACGGGCTTCAAGCCGGCGTTACTTTTGAGGGCAGTTTGACAAAGCCGCCAATTACCCCCAAGAAATATGTTCCATCGCCAGCCAACTAAGCGGTAAAATTACACATGCAGAGCATCTTTTGCAATTTTTAAAGATGACCCCCGGCTAGTTGAAACTTCAACCAAGAATTACTTTGCAGCCACATCACTAGTGACACCAGGGTCTTCTCACGGCTTTGCAGCCTGAAAACTTAACTTTGGGAATCGACACTTTTGCCAGTCCTCACTGATGTTGACCTGCATTCCGTGTTTAGCTTTATAGAAACGAGACCAAATGATATTGATGGCATAGCAGTAAAAATTCTACAATGAAAATTGACTATTTTTTATTTATTCATGCGTAACGGCTTCATAACGACCGGTTAATTCCAAGAACCTTAAAACAGCAGCTTTAAACCCTTCATTCAAAAAGTATCAAAAAGACAAATATGGAAACTATCGGCCAATCATAGGTCAGCCTTCATAAACGCACCTCCTAATGGCTGTCGCGATTCCTCAACAAGTTCTTAATAATTTCAGCGAGGCAATTCGGCTTTGTACCGGACCTTGGAAGTGTTTCACTATCGAAAATATTTTCACCTGTTCCATTCTGTTTTCGACCATAATCTCTACAGTTGAGCCCTATTTTTAGATACTTATAAAGCTTTCGACTGGGTCTACCACGGTATATTGCATCAAAAAATGAAGAAGCCCGGATTTCGAGGCAATTTTCACAACCTTTTAGCAATTATCCCTCTAATCGTTCGAATGTTGTTGCCCTGGGAAATCGCAACCTCAGTACAGACGTGCCTCTTACTTGTGGTGTTCTACAAGGATTCATTATCTTACCCTTACTGTTTAATATTTAAGTGAATTATCTTGTAGAAAACGTCTTAAATTGTCATTTTTTTCAACATATGGATGGGGCAGTTTTAGTTACCTCTTACACCAACTACACATCGACG